CGTGTAGTGGAACGCTCCATTCTATTGTCCTTGGAGGCATCATCACGTGCACAGACAATTAATCATTGGGTTAAGGTTGCGGTCAAATTGCATGAATTACACAATTTTCAGACTTTAAAAGCCATTCTTGCTGCGCTAGGAACACCCCCGATAAAAAGATTAAAGAGAACCTGGGCATGTATTCCAAAAAAAAGTATGGTGAGGTTAGAAAATTTAAATGAGCTGATGAGTGAAACCAGGAATTACGAGAAATATCGTGAAACGATACAACGAGAAGGTTTCCTAAGGAAACCTACCGTACCATTTCTAGGGACATTTATTATGGATGCCACATATTTATTGGCTGCTGTTAAGACTGTTGGCTCGTCCAATTCTTCAGCACCAGCAAATGTACAATCTCCTCGAACAACAACGGCTCCGATGTCTCCGGTATCATCTCCGACAAGCATCCAGGTTTTGCATGATGACCCTCGCATCCAAGAATTGTTGCAGACCCTGTCTCGATATCAAAATGGGCCGAAATATCATCCAAATCCACCGGCATCATATATAAAGGCGTCAACAAAACATCATTTTCGTACAGCCAGTATTAGCGCTGCTTTACACCGTAGCGGAAACAAATATAACCACCGAAATGATGACGATGATGAAACGATAGAAGAGAAGCAACAATTGATTACTCATTATATGTTAACGCGAGTGTGGATTCCCGAAAGAAGCGTAGATGAATTAAGTTCTCAACGTGAACCACATAAGCCCAAGTTCTACGGTGGTCGAACATCAAATCCTGCATCCTGGGGTGGAACTCCAAGTAACATTTCTAATACAAGTGTCGCATATCGAGGCAGTACTGGAAGTACAGTGGGTGGAAGTGGTACAAGTACAGGTGGAAGCACCAGTACAAGCAGTGGAATGGGTCGTACCAGTTCAACAAGTGGTAGTGGTGATTCGAGACCACAAAGTTTAGAAGATGGGATAGATGTAACTTCGACAAATATAAGGTCGGATAAGGCTGGGCCCACCCCAGATAAGGAAAGTTACAATGTAAAAGAAAAAGAAAAAAGAAATATCACGGGAAAAGTTGGTAACTTCTTTTTCGGCTCTCGTGGTAGTATAGATAAAACTCGTGATGAAAAAGAGAAGGAGGAAAAGACAAAACAAGGCGAGCTCGAAAAGGATACTGGAGCCGTGGATGATGAAGGTACCGAAGAATCGCCAAAAAATAGTCCCGAGTCAATAATCGCAATGCCATTTAGTGGTAAACGAAATAGTTGGCGGATAGGTATGAGAGTAATGTTCGGAGGAAATGAAACTAGTGAATCACCTAAAACTCATACTACCATGTTGAGATCTGCATCACATTCTCGGAGTTCGTCTAGTACTGCAGCGACTCCGAAGAGTCATATTGTTTCGAAAATTCATGGACGACCCTCGTCAGTCAACTCGTCGGATGCAAAACCTTTCACCTACACAAACAAAGCATTATTACGTAGGTCGTTAGAAGAACCACACTCCTCAACGCCGCCACCTTTATTTCCTAAACCAGTGAGTTTAACTCGTAGTGCCAGCACTTCATCAGCAACTAGCATGGGTTCAAGTGCCAGCGCTAACGGGACCATATCAAGCGCACGCAATAGTATTGGTAATGGCAACTTATTACACGGAGGAACCAACATTGATGGATTAGAAGATATTCGCATTGCTTTGGCAAAAAAGGTGGCAAGTGAGGTCGCAGCTGGTGGTGGAACTGTGGAGAGGAACTGGAAATGATGAGTTCCATTTCTTTAACTCTTTGTTATGTGACAGTGTCACTATATATTATTGTTGACACTCAGAGTAACAAATAATATATGCACAAGTTTACATGATATCTGACGTCATCATTATACCTTCCTCACGATCATCATGAAAAAAAAAAAAACTTATTCATTTTACAACACGTTATTTTACATACTTTCATTGTCCATATGTTATTTTTCCACGCATGTATATTTGTTATAAAAGATCAATCCATTTCTTTCCTCATTTTATATCTATACTCATTCATTTATCCCACCCATCACAACGGACTATATATATATATATATTTTAACGAACTTTGGTTTGTCTGCTTCACTTAAAATTATCCTTTTTTTTTAATTGCCTGCCAATTGGTTGGTAATTAGTTGTAAATAGTTTTTCATTTTTCACATCAAAAATTTTTGTGTATTTATTTTAAGAAAAATCACTTCTCAAGGGTTCTTTCGATTATGATATATTTTGCTTTTTTCTTTTTCCGTAAGCATTTACATTTATAACTATACTGGGTGGATTCTTTAAAACGCGGTCAAAATCGAGAAGTCTATTAACTATGAATATCATGAATTTGATGATTTTCTCATGTAAATATTGAATTTATGATTTTTATCTTTGGAATTGGTTATTAGGAAAATAGGGTGAAAATATTGAGATTTGTAAAATATTAAAAAAGTAAATTGAAAAATAAATAAAAAAAAAAAAAAACAAAAAAATTTTTTTTTCCGGTAAATGGTGAAATCAATAAACCGATACGTTCTCTGATCCGAAAACAGAATACCGAGAATATTGTTTAAACAATCTATTTCTACTAAGATGATTTTTATTGCGAAATACACATAAAATTTAAATTAGAATTCCAGTTTAGTTAAATAATTAGAACATTTCTTAATAATCAATTTGTTGTTTTTTAATTATGAAATTATGAAATATCAATAATAACATTATTATTTTTATTTTTATATATTTTTAAAAAAACAACAAATAGATAAAATTTTTGATATTACCTGTTACTTTTAATATTTAATATTTATCAATTTAAGTCATTTATTCACATTCAGTTAATTGATATTTTTTTTAGTAAAATCCCTAAATTATTTCGAGTGTACAGTATAATAATTTGTTATTGATTAATTATATCAGGATTGAGTATTGATTAATATACAAAATTTATTTTTTCTTTAATAATTTTGTGTTATCATATTATAATTTGTGCCTTTAATGAAAATAATGAAATTATAATTTAATTTTCAATTATTAAAAATATAGTATTAAAATATTAAATGCATTTGCTTGCTTCCAACTCAGACTTATTGACGTTGTTTATTATTGCGAGTTTTTTACTAAAATCTTTTTTTAATAAATTAACCTTCTTAACGTAGCTTCTTTTTATTTGTATTATTAACACAGTGTATAGAAAATATGGTTAAAGTGCTCGTTGATAAATTTTTTTGAAAATTCGATCTTTTACAAAAGAAAAAATTTTATTGATTCGTTTGATCAAACTTAAATTTTAGATGGGTATAACATCTTTAAAATAAAAAAAAATATATCTATGAGTTAAGTCAAACATCGAGCTTATAGAATAGAATTCTGGTACTCACAATTCGAACGCTTGCACCGAAACTTTTTGGCGGGAGGTTATTTCTGAATTTTGCCCTCACGACACCACC